TTAGCTCATACAATTTTCTGTACAGATGAAATAAATACTGTTTTTTTTTTTTATTCAACCATTGTATGTATATTATATAATACGTGTAAAATAGATATTGTTTTACCTGAGATAGCATGTGGCAGTTGTTCGGTGCCATATTGGTGGGCATGTGTGGAATTAGATTTGATAGAATACAAGTGTGATAAATATATTCTACACAGGACGGTGCAGACCACAATGCTATGACTGTAGGAGTGTACTGGGCATGTGTGGAATTAGATTTCATAAAATATTGGTATGATATATATATTACACAGGACAATGCAGACCACAATGCCGTGACTGTGGTAGAGCACCTGCTGAGCTGGGCAGATACAGAGCTGCTGCCCTCACTAAACCAGATCACAGTGGAGAGTACAGCAGAAGAACAGGACAGACACAGCAAGAAGAGAACAGTGTCAGACTCTCAAGCTCCAGCCTTGACTGAGATGACTCAGACACTCATTGAGGTGATTCCACTCATTTTGCTTCTCAGTCCAAGTTGTTATTTACGCATAAATACATATGAATTTATATATTTATACATACAACTTGGGTTAGACTGTTTAAGACTAAAACTGCAGTTTGAATTATGATTTATTTGAGTTTATTATACTCAAAAATCTTTCAAAGATTCTATATACAGTTTGATTAGGATATAAGAAAAACCTGTTAATATGATAGATATGAACTGTGTAGTATGTAGACATTGTGCTTACTGGGCTAACTTGAGGATAAAATATTTAAGGACCAAATAATTGGACTTCTTAAGCCAAGATAAAATTAAATAAATAATAATTGGTTTAGATAAAAACAAGAAAAAATATTTTCTTTGTCATATTAGAATACATTTTGATAGAATTAATTTATTATGCTAGAGTGATTCCAGTGTCTATAGTAGTCACATATATAGGTTTGTCATTGAAGTACCTGCATTTCCTCTGTTTTTTAGACACTGCTTACCATTGCCTCCAATATGCTGCTGGTGGGAGTTTGCGACAGAGAGTTCATATCAAGACTGGTGGAAATTGGAACAGGACTTCTGCATACTGGTAATTTTTTTTCTTTGCAGAATATGTGCAAACACAAAGTCAGAAATCAGACAATTTTTAAAAATTAATACATACAATTGTTATAGTTAAGCACTCTCTCACTCTCTCTCTCTCTCTCTGTATAATGCAGAACTTCCTTAAATCTAATAAAGGCCTTAGACACTTATATAAGTCATAATATCCCCACTCTGAAAGAAAAAAATGTTGCTCATAATTTACTTTTTTCATCAGTTTTTCTCCTTCCCAATATATTATATTATATTATATTATATTATATTATATTATATTATATTATATTATATTATATTATATTATATTATATTATATTATATTATATATTAGGTGGTAGACTTGGAAAGTGAATAATTATCTTTTTTTTCATGTAGAGCGCAGCACATTCTTCCTGCCACTGATATGTAAGCTGTTGTACCAGATAACAGAGCACTTCCAGTCTCAGGATGAAGATGAGGATGAGGTGGCGGGGTCCAGGGAGCCGGATGAGGGTCTGGGACAGGGTACGGCTGACCTGGTACCAGTACTACTGAGCACTGTGGTACAGACTGTCGCCAAATTGGTGCACCATGATAAGACAGCAGCTGAGAAGGTACAGACAGTACTGTTACTGTTAAATGTTCATTAATGTTATCAGTTAAACAAATATTAAGTATTCTTAGATATTTTTGTCCATAATGCCACTATCCAACTCCTTTCCAGTGTCTGCAGGCTTAAATGTTACATTTGCTGTCACATTTAGCTTTTTCCCCACTGCCAGAGAAAGCTCTAATTTTAGAAATCCAACAAAGTCATGAATGTTATCTTTTATCATTTTACTGTCGTTTCAAGGTCCTTCCAAGAATCAGACAGCCATTGACTGAAGTCCTGAAATCCTTCCATCGCCAGAGACCTGGCAGGGGAGACGTCAGCCGTGATGTCATGGCAACCATCATGGCTGCCGTGCTTGCGGAGGTGACCAATACAATTAAACAGGTATTTTTTTTTTTTGCATATCTACACTTCAGCTTGTGATTTTCATAGGATAGATGTGAAAAGTCTTAAGTTGTTTTATTTTGCTGTACCATTTTCTATAGGAAAATAACTCAAATGATTAATGAAATTAACCAAAATGCTGCTAATGCATATCAATTCAGCTATCAAAAGAAGAAGTTATATTCCATTTGATAAACAGTTTAGTTTGATACCTGTGTCTGCTACACTTCACATTACGAGGAATGAGGGGGCCACCTGTAATCTCTGGATATGGAGAGAGAGACAATTTAAAAATGTATTTGTTTTATCAATATTTCTTTTTCTAATACCCTACAGGAACAAGAGGTGTCAGAATACGAGGGTCTGCACCAGCTTCCTATGCTGTCTGCTTTCCTGCTCACTGCTGTCAACAAGAAGAGTGGAATGGTCAGGTACAGAAGTTAATTTTTATCATATATCCTGTAAGGAATATCAACCATGGTGTTCGTGCCTAAAATACACTTTTTTGTACCCATAGCATCAGAGCTTCATCTTGTCAGATTGTTCATTGTTTTTCTGATGTAAAATTTACTTTGTATTTGAGGTGGTTTCAATTTTCTCTGTTGTAATTGATTCCATTTACTATGAAAAATGAATTTCCATTAAAAGTTACACTTACAAAATTGTATGTATAATTGGTAACTTTTATGAAGATGATAAAACATTAAAACATTTCACTTGCAGATTTTTTTTGGAAGAACTTTACCATTGTTTGGACAGTGGAGCTATACAAGATATCTTTGGTCTTGCTTCAGCACTTCAAGTTTTAGCTGTCTTCAGCAAAAGTACGTGTATACTGATTTTGTTGACTTTGGCATAGTATATTTAAGCAAAATGCTAACCATATTGTCAATTATTGTTTAAAGGTTGTAAATTTTTCAAGTGTCTTTTGACACAAGATTCCTGGATTGGATTTGTTTAAAAAATTGTCCAGCTGTTGAGCTGAAGGAAATGATATCCCAGAGGGAGATTGGACTGAGATGACGGGTCAGTACCTATTGTTTTTGTTTCAGTTTCTCATATATTTTCTGATTTGCTGTTAGTATACTGGTAGAACTGAATTTATTTTTAGTATAATTTCAAATTTTAGCATTATATTTTTTAACTGAATTAGGCAGTTGGAAGACATTCCTCTCTGAAATTTGACTAAGGTGCCATAAATGTGTTGGCTTTTTCAAGTTCTAGTTTTAATATGAATTTGGTTGATGTCATATTAAATATAAATTTAAACTGGGATGTGTTATTTTAGTTTTACTGATTCATAAAGTTAATTATATTGACAGTTTTATCATTTATTTATTATCTATGTTATTGCAGTTAAGCCAGGTGAAGATGGCCTAAAGAACTCAATCACAGCTCTACAAGTTCAGTTGCAAAGGTTGCCTGTATTAGAAGAAGAGGGAGAGTCTCCAGAAAAGTCAGGGTTCAAAATGATCATGATGATTTGTGCAAAAATGTTTATAATCAATTTACAAGTGTAGCATTGAGAGTCCCTGTTGTTGTAGTAATGTTATGAATATAGAATATGAATATGGAATGCTGTATTATTTGCTGAGAATGAAAAGATATTTGGAATCTTGGACAGGATTTCCCAGCCTCCTAATCAGCAGTTTATCAAAAGTATTTTAATCCCAGAAGATCTGCATCATTGTTTTTACTTCATATGCCCACAGCAACTTTGCAGCATTATTACTGCTAAGCAGCTGATAAGTTGGGGCAGACAACTTTTGGAGTTCACTGGTTTTCAAGCATTCCTCAGCTATTTCATTTCAGATTCTGGAGCTACATCCATAGTGGCAAGGCTGTGGAATGTATGGAGTTTTCATTTCAAAGTTTGACTAAATACAGGACTGAACTTTGGGATGGGAATTTTCCAGCAAATAGTTGCTAGATTGTATCAATTTTGTCCAAAAATATTAATATATAAATAAGAAAAATGGAAGTTCCTGCATTATAAACATCTCTTTCAATTTCTTTGCATAAAAAAAGATTCTAATTCCGTTTTCCCCTCTCCTTCTAGACACCTGTACAACAGCAGTAAGACAATCCTGAAGTCTTGCATGCAGCAGGCTGGAATGGTGGCTTAATGTTAGGGTCTGTACTGAACACATCACAGGTTATCAAGTACAGGGAGTATAGCATGCTTTCTGCTGTGATGGTCCTTCATCAGTGTAGACTGCTTCACCCAAGAGACATGGGACACTAGGGAACAAGTTGTATTTGAAGGCCCACTTACCACTGATGATCATGGTGTGTATAGAGTCATTTAGTTGATCAATGAGGAATACAGGTACCTGGCTGTAGCCTTTATTATAGAGTAACTATGTAATGAAATTGAAGTGGCTGGCTGCCGAGTAGAATTCTATCTTTAATTTATATTACTTTCAATAAAAAATGCTAGCAAAATTATATTGTATATAGAAGAACCAGACAGTATGGGGTTTCAGAGGATAGAGAATTTAGATTTAATCTTCTGAGACTTTATGGTAAAATCTGGACTAAGTACTTGAAAAACATGACAGTTTACATGTCATGTTCTGGCATCTAAAAGGTTTCCACATGTGCATTTTGTTAAATTATAAAAGAACATGACGTTATTCACAGAATTATGTAAAAATTACTTCTGAAAATGGATAATGTACCAAGCTTGGTAACCGTTATTAAGGAAAGCCATTTGTATTGTTGTTATTGCTTTTGTACTCACTTGACCAAAAAACATTGTCAGTGATTAGGAAATGTTTCATAACTAAATGACATTATTTTGACATTTTAAATTTATGAAAACTTAAAATTTTATGATGCAAAGATATGAACTGATATTTAGTCTTTAATTCATAGGAAAATGTTGCATAGCTGAGGTTGTGACAGTGAAATGTGCTGAAATAAATTGTAAAACAAAATGAATTCGTTGTATTTATTATTCCTTGTTGTACAGTAAATTAAGAGGTCTGATGTGGCAGTTATGTCATTAAGATGTCAACACTGTTCAAAGCACCTGCTTTTTTCCTAGAACTACTTGTGCATACACACTGTACATGGACTATAATTGAATCAAATCAACATTACAGTGGAGTTATTAAAAGTCGATACATTTAAGTTGTACCTTGGGAATTGCTTATTGAGTAGCACAGTGATGCTATATAAATTACTCAACATTGGTTACAAGCAAATTGCATGTATCATTCAACTACATGTACATAATGTAAAGCTCTTAACAAACTCGTACATTGTATTGTTCTAATACATGTATATGCTGGATCTTTTAAAGTTTTGACAGACTGATCTAGCATTTGGCCACCACTGAAAAAAAATTTTGGTAGCTGTTACATCAGTTATCTCTGAGCCTTTTTGAACAAATGAATGGCAAGAGTATACATGACCTGGAATTGGTGACAGATCGTATGTACTTATAAATTATAACCTCGAGGATTCATTGGTCTGTGCGGAAATCTGAGGTACACTTACACATGCTGTTAATTCACCTTTAACGTCTTACATTCTACTTAAAATTTCAAAGCAATATTATATACTATACCTTGCATAATAATAATAATAATAATACACCTTACATACATGTATCACTTCAGTTCTGTGAAATGAATGATTTCCACTGACTGCTGTATATAAGAGTAAGATCACTCTAGCATGGCAAATTTTAGTCAAAGGCCAGACGTACTATTTACTAGGCTTTTGAAAATATAAGGCATTTTACCTTTTTGGAGGAATTTCACAAATAATTTAGTTCATAAGTTTGATTTAGCTTAAATTATCGAGCACTTTTGCAAAAAGGAATTCTGTGCTAGTGTGAACCAATAAGAGCAAGCTGACTCAAAGTAACTGGACACATGTTGACAACATGGTAGTTAAGTAACACTGGCAGCACTTTTCTAGTTAACATGAGAGGTAGCAACAAGTGACCATACAATTCCCCCCAAGGGTTGACCACATTTTCAACAAATTGAGCAACCTAGATAATAGGACACAATATAATTAAGTTTACCAAAAATTTGTACTTATAATGATGAACTTTGAGAACTATTTCTGCTCACTTTTAGAATTAAATGCAATTCAAGCAGTAAATTAACTGCTTATGTACAGAATAGTTTAATATAAACCTTATTTGCAGACAATATAGCCCTATCATGATTAATATACAGAATGACTATTATTTGAATAATTTGCTTGTGCTCAAGAATTTTACTGTTATTTTCCTTTGAGTAAAAATGCACAAGCATAAGTGCACATTATTAACTACATACTGTGCTATAAAGTTCCTAACCTGTCGTAAAATTTCCCCATGAAGTGCCCACAGCCATATCGTGAACATTGAGTATTTGATTTTCAAATCCAACAAAATCAACTGCCTGTTTACTGCAATGAAGGGCTAAAATTAGGGCTTACTAACACCTAAAATCTGATACTCTATATTATCTAACAACACATCTACATGAAAACCTTTGAGGCAACTTAAATTTTATTACTATCCCAAGTGCTAAATGAGTCCCAAATTACTGGCAAGGGTGATTACATGTAGTTTGATGCAAGTAAGTTATATGCGATATCGTTTTGAAAAGCTCATCAAGCCATGTCTTCTTTATAATATCTTCATACAGATATTTCATCATAGCCACAATATAAGCCAAAAAATACAATAAAATATCCTTTTAAATACTTTTTTTACAATGCTGAAGGTTAAGTAGTAACAAGTACTCTAAGCATAAATACCTGCAGATCTTCAATCAAGGTATCTCTTCTCTTTTTTTTTTTTTTAATTTTCAACGAAGTGCAACTTTAATTTAGAACGTTAACTCCACCAAAACCTCACTTCTGCTCTGATGTGCTCTAGAACAATGCTCTGTGCAGCAATTGGGCCTGCTTAATGTTTTTTTACACTCAACAAAAACCTGAAATTCAAACTTCTTTCCCCATTTTCATGCCACAATATTAACTGCGAAGTCAGCATTTTAAAAGGGGTTCTCCAACACAGATTATATGATGTATATGCTAACTCATACCAACTAACCTAATAAAGATTTGATAGACGTGCCAAATCTCTATGATTTTAAACATTACGCAAAATACAAAAGCTGCAGAAAATTTATCTATACTACACTTGTATAAAATGCTTTAATTTGTACACTACTTTAAATCAAAAGGCATCCATCTTTTTTTCTCAATTATTATAGTTAACATGTAATTCAGAAATTTTATGCAATGACAGTGCTGTTGTATTGGCAGTGATTGAGGGCAGGCATAAAATAATGCAGTTAATTAGTCTTTTTGAAATAAAACTTCTAAAATAAATACCTATCCTATTAGGCTTAACAAGATTAAAAAAAAAACAACTAAAAATGCTGTTTCTGCAACAAGCTATTTTTCTTGTATTCAAGATGTAATTAAAATTTGTAAAGAACTGAAATCGTTTCCATAAGTTGGGTAATGAGGCTTGCATGTTAAGCTCAAAACAAATACATATTGTAAACGCCCACCCACCCTATAATTTACTTCTACAAAAAGACCAACATATCTGGGAACAAAGCCTTTCCTGATTTCTCCGCATTAAGAGATATTACTGCAAACCTGCTATGGCACATTGTACAATTAATTTTTAAAGTATATGGAAGCAAAAAAAAACTTCATTTGATTTTAAACCTACAGTATGTAATACTTGTATGGTTGCACAATGAACTACAACTTTAAAAAAAATTGACATTTTGTTAAAATGAAGTATGTTCTACATTTGAAAGTATGTTTCAATTGATGTGTAACAGAGGTTATAGTTTTTGTGAGGTAGTTCTATAAAATTTCTTGAAAATTTTCAAATTTAAAAAAACTGAATACAGAATACAGGTAAGAAAAGTGTAAGGCTTCAACACACTGCTTAAGAAGGGAAGAGAATTATCATAATGATAAAAGTTGGAGTAAGCTTTTTGTTTTGTTGTATAAATAAGCAAGGATTCTCTTTAAATTCCTTGCAGATTTTACCTTAGAATTTAGAGGTAATGTTTAATTAATATTTAAAAATAAGAACATTTTTGTACTGAACAATGTCCTCTTTATGCAAAAACAAGCTATTCTGAATGATATGCTTAGGTTAAGTCAGGTCATTCAGCCTGCAACAAGTAAAAGTCACCTCATGCAACCTGCCGCATGGTCCTGATACACAGGCAATCTGGCATCTAGTACTCATCAACCCACACTGAACCAACGTGGTGAGTTAAGGTTCAACCCAACACGGACAAAAACACGCAATGTGTGGTGAAGTCTGTGAAGACCAAAACCAGCCAGCAGAGGTGTGACAGGCTGCTATGATAATGATGATGTTCAGAAGACTGGTTGTATGGTTGCCAAAAACTACACAAGTTTAACACACTCATTTCACTTAAAATAACTATTTTCATTTGGGAATAACAGTTAAAATGTCTTAAAAAGCATTCTATTCAATTTCCTTCTCAAAATATCTAAAATTGAGAATAACTGAAGGTCTTAAAATTTTAATATCTAGCACTCAATATACAAATAAACCCGTACAGTGTATAGATAGAAAAAACTACCATATAAGATATATAATATATGATGAATATTGGCCTATATAAATTGAGTGAATATTTTATGGCATTAAAATTATTGCATTCTAGCTCCTGCTACATCTTCTAAAACAATTATAATTTAATTAATGAGGAAAAAAATTTCAATTGCTTTCCATATCCTTGATGTTCTCTCCCAGTTCCTTCCCCACTTCCCCACTATTATTGCTCCCATACAGAGCTCTCTTTAATTCCTGAGCCTGAGATAGGAGGCGCTGATGTCTCTGTCTCTCTATATCCAAACACCGGAGATTTTCCCTCTCCTGTTTCTGCAACTCTGCGATATAGTCTGTAGAAAGCTCGAGTATTGTCGCTTGAAACATGGTCCTACCATATCGCATTTCTGGAGGTAACAGTTGCTTCAGGTACGACATCACACACCCCATCTCGTGTCGAATTTGCCTGGATCTCAATATGGCCTTCCCGCGGTCTCTAGGGCGGTGAATAAATGAACGGTTTGTGCGACGGTCGGTAATCTCATCATCAGAGGCAGAGTCTAGAGTGCCACAAGAGGTAGAGCTGTTGACGTGGGGCACGTCCAGACTAGACGAGGAGGAACTGATGGTATTCTGTAAGAAGGAAGCGTAGGTCATGTACTGTGACAGTTGAGGGGACTGCGGTCTCTGTATGGCAGATGTCCCAGCAACCTCTGACACCTGCCCAGTGACACCATGTTGATGAGGAGAGAGGGAATTCTTGGAGCTCCCCAGCTGCCTCTGTGTACTGGATACAATGGCACTGTCTGCACTACGTGGCAGCGATGACGTGATTTCCTTGGATTCTGAAAGCTGGTGTTTCACAGACCTACAGTTACTTGAGGACTTGCCAGGAGGTCGTCCTCTGCCTCGGGGCCTGCCTCCAGGTGGTTTGTTCATGTTGTTCATATTGTTCAAAACATGATTGGGGAAGGTGAAAGCCAGCGGATTGCCAGCTTGTAAGGCCCACTGCTGGTAGGCAAGTGCCGCCATGTGGGGATAATTCTCAGGCTTTAACAAATTCTCAGGTTTTAACATGGTCTCAACCATTTCATGGTTAACAGTGACTTTACTTGCGTCTCGCTCCTCTTTTCGTTTCACAGGTTTTGATAAATCTAATGGTCCATCCTCCTGTGGCCATGTGTTATTATAATCCCTGAACTGGCCAAGTCTTGCCTCCCGTTTAGGTACTACTGAGGTAGATACTGGTAGCTTGGGTGGGATGGTCAAACTGACTGGTTGACCCAAAGACCAGTCCTCCTTAGAAAACTGACCATTGCTGCCCCCTGTGTAAGAAATATCAGGGGGAGAATGGGTTGCAATCTCCCTATCTTTGCCATCAAACTTCACAAGTTTGGGGATTGCTCCATGCAGTTTTTGTTCCTCCTGCAAGCAGTTTTCCTGAGCCTTCTCCTCTTTTTCTTCAGCAACATCTACCACCTCTTCAATGTTGACTGCCACCTCATACGAGTCTTCTAAAAGTTGAATGATTGGAGCCTTCAGGAACTTGAGTTCTACATGGAATAAATCCTGCTTCACATGGTTCATGTACAGCTGGTATGCAAAATGACCTGGAGAGAAAATAATATTTTACATATTATTATTCTGTGCGTGAATTATTTAAATATTCACTGAAAACTTTTTGAGTATTAGAATACATGTATTGTTGGCTAGAAATGAAGACTTCTGTCACTTGAGAGGCAGAAGTCAAAGGTAAAAACACACAGTATTCAATACTGGTGAATCTGATATCTTTTCTGAAGATATCCTCAAACACACACAGTGATAAGTTGGTGATAATTCACACCTGGATTATCATCTGTTCACAACTGGGCAGGTTTTGCACAATGTTTTCACCACTGATTCTTCTGACATGTTCATATTTTTAACAACAGAAGAGTACACTATTTAATTATTTCGCAGTTTACATGTAATAGTAAAATAGTCCTACATGACAATTCTTTCAAATATTAACATTCTCTGGAATCTCAAAAAAGCAAGCATTTTTGTTTTTTCGTTTTCTTCAGACAAAATGAATTTTAGCTACTGGTGATACCATGTCTTCATACTTATCAATCACAATAAAAATGAATCAGTTTTTAAAATAAAAAAAAACTTAATAGACAAACGGGGTTAAAACAGAAATCATGGAATGGATAATGAAGTTTCAAAGTTTTAATATCATAGGTGTGAATAATTTTAGTCACAATGCTATCAATAACAAAATTCACTTCACTTCCATTTAAAAAAGAAAATTCCTGCTTTGCCTTCAGATTAATATCTTAAGTACTTACAGACTTGGACATATGATAATAATGCCTCACTACACAACCATTACCATTTATGACTTGTAGTAACATCTTCACCTCGTCCTGGCTAAAAGCAAGTGGAAGAGAAAGTGAAAGTGCCTCACCTTCCTGATCAGCCGCCACAAACTTGCAGTGTTCCTGCTCCGCTAGGGCCAGCCATGCTTTGAGTGCCTTGTAGGGCAGAGAGAGCTTCAGCTTGGACAGAGGGGGGAGTGGCTGGGTTCCATCATTCCTAACAGAGTCCGTCATGGTTACCATGTGCTGTCAGCTGAGAATGAAGAAAAAATGAAAGAGTGAACACTGATAGATAGTTTCATTTCTGTCTCTGTGTAATTAATTATATCACATTTCACTATGGCTATTAACCATTCACGATTTATATCAGTTGGACGGCAAATGAGCATATTGGCAAATGAGTAAATCAACTGAACTGTAATTAAGCATCTGAAATATTCTTTTGTAATAAAACAGATAAAACATTTAAATGGCTACAGCATCATAGAAAGATCATGTTAGACCTTTTAAAATTGATATACACACTTGTTGTTAGTGCAACCATGATTTAAATTCAAAGTTAATTTTGTTAAATTTGTCAATGGTTGTTTCACAACTGAAAAATAAATTTATTCTATAAAAAAGGTGTTTCCTGACGATCAGTCAAAATCACTTACAATATCACCAAGCCACAGGTAAAATAAAGTAGGCTATTATGATACACAATGAACACCTGAAACCATCAGGCCACACAGGTGAGTTACTCAAGTCATATCTGCAAGAGATATAAGGTCATCATAACCTCATTCCTATTTCTGAACCTATAAAACCACGTAAATTTATTCCACCTTTTTAGAACTTAGTAAACTGAAGCATCCAGAAAGGCAATATTCCCAATATCAAATTAATGCTAATTCAGAAGCTGGAGAACAAAAGGTGAACCATCATGGCCTGCCAATTCCACAAGACATGCACAATGCAGACACGCAACAGATGCATATGCATGGGCTGGATACTCTGTACTTTAAACTATATTTAAACAGCAATTCTTAAGACATAAGTGTGTGTGTGTGGGGAGGGGGGGAGGGAGAGAGATAAACTAGGACACCAATAACACCTAATAATGACAATCAAGGGCAATATGCCATGTTAATGTAGGCCTTGTGACATATACTACCCATTGTAATAATTTCTGTGAGGGTCCAACTGCATGCATTTGACAGAAAAAGAAAAACTGCTGCCTGAGAGCGTTTCACAGTAAGAACCGTCTTCAAATCAATAATTTCCAGAGACGTGGCGAGAAGCATAACCGGGGAACAAGTCTCACAGCTGAGTTCTAATCAAACCGTGTCATGTGCTGTAGAATACAGTGCAGCATGATTATCAATAATATCGAATCTTATCACCGGCAGATAAGGGACATCAAGAAGATGGAATTTCTTTTAATTTCTTCTGTCTCTTCTTCTTGCCACTTCTCTCTGTGGAACCCAAGAATTTTCTAGGGAAATGGGTGCAATCTGGGACTTTTTTTTTTTTGTAGAATGTCCGTGGGTCTCAGACCAGTCCTATCATCCCTTATGGTAGGGGACAGGGATGACTCTGCTGCTTTGTTTTGGTAATGAAGGAGAACATCTGTTTAAAAGATTTAGTCTACAGGGAAATTGAGATCTCTTCTGCAGAATCAATTAAATGTAGAAACCAAGTTGAAAAGTTTGGTTTAAGAAAAAAAAAGCTCTGCACTTGTTTGAGTATTTGGCAAATTATTTCAAAGCTGACCTGTTTCCCCATAGTGTCCAACCTGATGAGGCTCTTCGTGAGCTGCTACCTGCTAGGATGCAAGGATCTAATTGCAGTCAATATTAGACATAATTTGTTTGTGGCATTCACGAGCTGAAAAGTGTAATGGTTGAATGACCAAATCAACCATTTTACATAACAAAAATGCTTTTTCAAGAAAACGAATATTCCAACTGCTTTTCACAAAGAGCCATGTTTTTTCTTTCTTTATTGCATAAAATTTAAATCCCTCTTTGCATGTAACCATGTTCCTTTGATACTTTTTGGGAATAAAAAATAAAGGGGCGGGGGGGGGGGGTGTCTTTACCTGTTCCAGTTGGCTTGTTAACTTCACTTTCACATCCATTCACCTCAGGCCAAAGAGAAGCTCGTTCTTATCAATCATGAAGTACACTAATTATAGGGACATAAATGTTTGTATTTTAAACACTTTCTGATAACAAGATTTACTTTATCAAAAAGTTCAACTTAATAAATCAATATGTGTTTGTTTTTGCTTATCATCTGATTCCATAGTTTACAAATGACAGTTGTTTTGACCCTCCACTATGAAGAGGTACACGTAAATTTTCAGTAAAATCTACAAATCACTGAAATTTTACTGTGCAGCATTTAACAAATGCTCTATGACTCAACAAGTCCAACAGTTGTGAGCCTCTTGTACCTACGGCATATGAACCGTGACGGGGCATGTGTTACAAAAAGGTTCAGCTTAAATTGCTTTGTGTCACTTGAACACGTTAGTCGCATTCTAGTCACATACAGAGGACTCAGGTAAGTACAGTGGCGGTGACACCAACGTGAATATATTGTATCCTGCATCACAGCCACCATCAATACTCACATACTATGTCACGGTACCATAGGCAAGATATGTGGTACAAGTATATGAATGATTTTCATCAGCTTTAACGCGGTTATATTGAAAAACACATTTACTGAGATACTCAATGTTGTTTTTTTCCAGTATCCCATCTTTCTGACACAAAGTACATGCATTGATGCAATAATAATAATTACAACAAAACTTATGATGAATTCCAGACGCAAGTTACTTAAAAGAACTTGGTGTGTGCATGTGTGGGGGTGTGGGTGGGGAAGGGGGGCGATCCCCCACCACCCTCACTCCCATACTGCCTAAATCCATTCATATAGCAAGTAGTTGCCTATGTACCCTTTTCTGTGTTCAGTGAGGTTTTATTCTAGAACTGTGTCACCACACAACTAAGCCATTCACAAAGGATATAAAAGTCTCAGGTGCTTTGGGGCCTCTCTGTAACTGTACCCTCCAACTGAGAGACCCAACTGTGCTTCAGATATTCAAATCCCTGGTCATTTACTAGTATATATTATTCTATAATAATGTTTTAAACTTAAAACAATTTATAGTTTAACAACATTCTGAACCAGATTATACTGTGGTTGCCTTCCCTTGCTGTTGAATTAGAACTTTTATTAGTGGCCCACAAGGGAGGGTAGGTGGGGAGGCTTTTAGATTGTAACGTGATGAAAATGAATATTTCACATCTATTGATTGCAGAGGTTTGCCCTGCATGAAGGCATGACTGAGAACCAGCCTCTTTTATTTCTCTCAACGTGACATTCAAGTTATCTTGAAAATATTGATTACGGAGGAACAGATACACACTGTTTTTCCCTTATGATATGTAGTTAACAAAATACAAAAGATCTAAGACTATATACACATATACATTTAGAATTTATGAAATATCAACAAAATAAGTTATCTCTGCAATGATTCCATTATGACCTAGTAAATACAAATGCCAAAATCTACTATCATGTCTGCATAACAAATACCTTCATCAATCACGTCTAACATATCAACATAAAACATGCCTAAGAAAGTACTTGAAACCTTGATGGAACCAAGCTAAAACCTTCAGTTGGTTGCGAGCTTTGTGCTTTATTCATTATGCCATGATGATTCAAATAGTAGAACAAGCCAATAGAAATTGTGGTGGTACTTTTTTTTCCAAAATGTTACCGTTTCCAACACATATTAAGAAAGGTGTTTGAACTCAAAATAAATTGACTGAGAGACAAGCAAATAATTGGAGAAACATGTACAGACAAAATGAGTATGCAAACTGATGGGCAAGCAAAAAGAGATCAAGACAGACAAAAAGACAGATCAAGGCAGGCTCATCACACAGGCAGAAATACAGGTACACATATGGTAATTACTCTTAACTTTTCAAAGGAGGAAAATAGTGAATTTTACAGATACTGCATTTTTAGAGTAATAATTTCTTAAAATTAGAACCTTCTTATTGAGTCGTAGCAACAAAATTAAAAAGCAGGCTACTCTGTAGTTCTATACTATGCAGTAAAAGCACCACAAATAATATACAGAAATATAACTTTGGTGATTATAAAATAATGTATCAGAAATCTTGATAATTTTTTGCCTATTGAAAAGATCGCGTCATCACCGCAACAAACCAGGCAGCCAGCATGCCATCTACACCCAAGAAACATACCATGTGTAACATGCCAATTAAATCACCTTCCAGTAGTAATTAATGCTGAATATAAAGTCCAACAGCAGAGATATTACTGCCTGAACCACACGTGCGTCACGCTTTTCAAAATGTCAGCATTTCATGCAGAATCTTCCACTTCAACCATATTGAACTGTGACAAAGTCTTGTCTCTAGATGACATTTGCATTTCCTTCATTAGAACTCAGGTGAAATGTTAAAGTGAATTTGTGAATGAATGGGATAACCACCTTATACCTCTGACTTTTAGCAAAAAATATTTTGACATGCGGCATTTTTTTCATAAAATGCTTAGACTGACTTTTTTTTTACCTGAAAACGTGTAAACAACATAAAGTACTAGTGCAGTGGTAAAAAAACAATACACACACACACACCTATGTACTATTATAATGTTGCATGTAAGAACATGACAATAAACAATGAATATGCAAAAGGCAACCTTCTAGTGTAGGTGTTTCTGAAAACCTATCCAATTTACACTCACACAAAACCATTTATTCATCATAAACCAGTATTCTGTAGGAAGCCCTCAAATACACAGGCAGGCATACATACTCCAAGCACAGTACTTGTTTTAAAACCTGTTTTGGTTTCATTACGAAGGCAATAAGATTGGGCCACAAAACAGAACATTATTCTACCCTTCTAGGTTTTTAGACTAAAATCCATGAGTCTACCAAGCTATGTCACTCGATGATATTTCATTTTACAGATAAAAAGTGGTGGAATGTCCATTTTAAAAATCTATATTATATCTACAATATGCAGTGTTTATTTTGCCAGACATGATAACACTTGTTGTAGAATCATCACATTAAATTTTTTACATGACTATTAAAATATAAGGTTCACTCCTCTTTTTAGATTCATGCCTTCCTAAAAAAAAAGTTAATGGTCTGTCATATCTGGAGAGCTCAGGGAGGATAGTGACCTGGATGCATGACCTACATCTTAATAAAAAAATCAATTCTAGCATTGTCTGTGTCCTCATGCGGGGGTAAATACAATTCACAATATAGAAATTTACATTAAAAAACAGACAGCATTTATGATACTCTTAATTTAAGTGATTTTTTCTAAATGGGACAAAAACAACTCCATGTGTTCAACTCCATTAGATGTTACACGAATACTCTGTTCTTTAGCTGAGATGTATTCAACTCCCAAAGGTGCCATAGTATACCTGCTGTACCCTATTAATAACTTGGTCTTGTTAACCTTTTGACTTCAACTAACTTTTTCACCAATTATTTTCTGACAAATTCTAAAATCATAAAATCATTCATCTTATTAATTATACTGGAGTGAATGTACTTACAGTCTGCTTGGAACACCTGTCATATCACTGGTGAACTGAGAGAAAAAAATAGTTAAAGAACCAAACTTGCACCCACAGATTGTGGTGGACACATGGGAACTTTATCACCATCCCAGTCCTCAATTCACGGTAAATAGGATATGACACAAACACGGATCAAAATCTACCAACCGTGACACAGAAAAACAAAACACTAAACAGACTGCTAATTAAGGAATAAACTGGTTTTTAGAAGTAACATTTACCGTAGACGATTACCCCGAGAACGGCTGAAATTAGTGCGGTACAAGCAGCAGTGGTCACAGTGTAAACACGAACGTTAGTCGTCGCCGTCTTGTGCCGAATCTGACCCCTTGATTCATCTTGAGTTGCAGTGATATGGAAGTGTGTCAGAGCACGTAGTACATTGTCCCAGCCGTGCGTTTATTGCAAATTCATGAACAAGCCGCCGGTAACTGAATCTCTTTGTATCGCACACGGTCGTGGTGCGTGACTTCAATAAAACGCCCCTTGTGAATGGCAAGTGAAATGTGAGGTAACGTGAGCCATTTATCAGCGCGTCGTGTGTAGGCTTCGCTGTGTTCAATATTAACCACGGCGGAGGAGGGGTCAAGTCACGAACTGCAAGCATGCATATTTTCCACTCCTCCAGCACGGCCTCGGTTGCTGTGCTGATAAGGCCACATGAATTAAACTATAACCCAAGTCTCCGCCAGGGGCTGGCTACTACACTACAGACGCCCTAAATGACACACAGGGGTTTAATAAATTACATTAACAAAAATACGTCTTACCCATCCGGTTTAAAACCGAAACAATTTTCTCCGGCTTAGTTGAGGGAGAAGGAATCCTAGTCATCTTCCTGGCCGAGACGGAAACTTGTCACGATATCCACCAATAATGCTTGCCAATAAAATAGATCAGATAAAACGCGCGAAAATACTGTACATTAATAAATACGTGTTTTCTTTAAACTACATTGTATTGCTTAGCACGAAAAATGCTTAAATTAAATTTATTTGACCTTCATAAATGACAGAATATATTTATCTGAATGGACTCAAGAAGGTTGCACGGTACCCTAATTTATCTACCCGAACGGCGCGCGTTTTATAATGCCAAATAATCGATGTAATATGTTTCCCATTTCAATTATGAGGAAAGGGCTATAAAATTTCCTGCTGTAGATTTCTTTTATAATTTGGTTGTTTTACGCATTATAATGAACCAAGACGGCTTTATAAACATACGAGATGTTAAACCTAATCAAAAGAACATAAATGTAGTATTCATTGTTCTTGAAATAGGTGAGTAGGTTCGCATAAGGGTGAGTACTTTTAAGAGGAGGTCTGGGGCCTGACGTAAATCGCCAAGCATGGGCGGGTAATTTAAACGACACAAATTATATAGGCTAACAGTCTAATTGAACAAGGAATATATAGACTAACTTTTGGCTTGTTATTGATAAAACCTTATATTATAGATAATACATAAATGCATTAAAACACTCTTTGGTAGGCTTTTGCAGGGGTCGAAACAGACGGTCGCCCACTCGCCAATGCGACTTAGAAACGTCCCGGGCGACCGCTGAAAAGTGCCAAACATCATTGCCAAACCCACAGTCTGCGACGTTAAGCACTAGCCCGAGGCAATTGCCCACCTAAAGTGGCACCGGGCTAGTAAAAAAGATGAAATTTTAGAAAGCACTAGCTGTAATTTTGAACCTATTTTAACACTCAGTAAGATTTCAAAAATATGAGTCGCCAGTATTCTTTGTCCCTGCCTCTAATTTGACGTTTCTAGATAGTATGATATGCCTCTCAGTTGAAAAAACTCACACCTAGCTCAAACTACTGAATATTGATTAGTTGCTATAAATAACTTCACTGTAGTTATTTATAGTAGCAGTCTGTCTGATCAGCGTGTCGGCATCTTTTTATTTGACCAGTTTGTTGTCATGACTACAAATTGCTGTCAATCAAGAAACTGGATCAGACCGGAATTCTTTGGTACTAGCAACAGGTTCTTTGTCAAAACAACACGTCTCCGAAGCAAGTGTAATGTATGCGTTATCTCANTATATCCATTTTATTTTTTATATATTATGATAATGATGAGCTAGCAGAGGAGGATGTGTACAAACAGTTAAAGGAACTGACTAGAATATGAATGTGTTTAGATAATCATATAGAAATAAAAATGGATGTTAAACATGTATGCATTTACGTTATATCTAGTAGCTTGAAACTACTAATTTTTAACGTAAAATTTTAGGGACCAGTACTTCTTGGTACGGACCAGTACCTCTAAGGTCCACTGGTCCGTATTGGCCAGTCCTGCCCAAATTCTGTTTTGACCCCTGCTTTTGTGGACACCACGGATATTTTAAAGACTTTATTGAGAAAAAAGTATCTATAATAACACATGAAAAAAAAAAAAAAAACAACTAATAAGCAGTACATTAAATGTATCTACTGCAGAAGAACTACATGCTAATGTTATCAAAAGTTCATTTCATAACATAAACTTAATATTGCAAAACTTGTATTTCAATTTCAGATTAAAGTATAATCACAAAAAATAATTTTGCATTATTGAAATAGTTGTAAAACAACTGTGTTCAGAAATTTGGTTCAGATACAAAATTACAATAGAAATTTGGTTCAGATACAAAATTACAATAGAAGGGTAACATTGATTGCATGCCAATTGATAGTAAAATTTAAGCTGAGTGCTGTAAAATTCTGTTAATTTGATCTTATATTTGTTACTGTACTATAGTAAATATATTGACCTTAGGGTGCTTTCCCAGAGATTTAGATTGATCCAGAGATTAAGATTTAGATCGACCTAACTCCCTGGGGGTTCACGCTAAATTGCAGTCAGCCGAGCGGGCACCATAGTTAATTACCCCCTTACAGCTTTTAGTAGGTGGGACAGACACTTAAGCCGGCCAAGCTGACAGTAATCTAGTGAGATTCCCCACAGGGATAGATCGATCTAAAAATCTATGGAAATGGGGTGTTAGAGGCTCAAAGGACCAGTTAACCAAATAAATTTTTGCACAATCTGTTTATGAAGTAAGAAGTATAACTTGCTTATTAACCAGTTGGTACTTATAACTTTCTGTTAAGTTTGAAAACAGACAAATTAAATGCATTGTGAAAAACCAATATTATCAGCTACTTCAAAGTAACAATCTGCTTAAGTCTGTTTTGTTTGAAAAAAAATAATAATTAAAGAATTTGAAGTTTATTAGACCAATCCATTGATCACTAATAGATTTATTTAAAGGCCTGTGGCAAATTCTTTTTTTTTTTTTTTTTTTTGCAACTGTAATGTAAAAATAACTATACAGTTGGAACAGAAATCAGTTTCTCACAAGTCATCAATATTTCATCATGGATTTGATGTTGGACTATTTGTTGACTCCAAATTTTCATTTTTTCCCCTTTTCAGTTGTTAGCTTTCTCAGTTTTAGTGAGTCTGTCCATAGTAGGGCTGATCTTATATAATATGTAGTGTGACATTTGGTACAGTAACAGGCCTACCCAACTACCAGACTCGGCACCAAATGATCCCAAATTCACCAGTAGATCAGACCACACTACCCGTTTTCAAGGTGTACGTCAGTGCACATTTCACAGTATCATACCCCGGAACAAATTTTTAGATGAGATGCACTACTATCATTACTATATGAGAATCATTACTATCACACTAGGCAGGAGCGGTGTTGCGTCTGATACTTGGAAGCGTGTACTGATACACACCTTGAAAACGGGTAGTGTGTTCCAATCTACCGGTGAATTCAGAATCGTTTGGTGCAGAGTCTGGTAGTTGGGTAGGCCAGAGTAATTGGCTGCCATTCCTACCACTGCCACCACCACCAGCATTTGGTAACTCCTGCTACCTCTGGGACCCCTTCTGCTCCCATTTCCACCCCAATTATCTCCACCTATTTCTACCACTTTCACTGACTCCCTTCTGATCTCCGCCACCTTTGCCGCCTTGAATTCCATCAAAGAATGCAAAAATTTCGTCATAGAATGCTTAAACCACCATTCTCACTGCTGCCATTTCGATCACAGTTTCCACTGCAAACTCCATTACTAATGCCAGTATCGCTATGCACAGTAATTGCAACCATTGCTCCTGCTCCTTGTACCACTGTTGCTTATATTACCTCCATTTATACCACTGCCATAGAAGTACCCTCTATCATGGTGGCAGATATTATAGGCACATTTTCCACCAGCAAGTTAAAAGATTGACCATATTTAGCCAGAGACATGATCTGTGAATAACTAGTGAAAATTCAATCAGTGGACCTGGTGCAGGGTACGAAGCCCCCATCACCTCTGCCAAAGGAAGCGTTCACAATGAAACTATTGTTTTAGGTAGATTGATCCATCTCTAAGGGGACTCTCACTGAATGTAATCAGATTAACTGAGTGACACACCTCCTTGAGCAGCTAGGGAGAGATTGCACATGTGTTCTGTTGCACTCAAAAGGAAGAGAAAAAGCTTCAGAAGCTAGGCGGACACGAAAGTTGATCATTCCTTAGCTGCACAAGGAGACACCCATATTCACCACCACTGTTGATGCTGCCATCATTATCCCCTAACCACTGCTGCCTCTGTTGCCTCCACCACAGTCACTGCCTAGAATTCCACAACTGCCAACTCTGTGGCTGCCACCATAGCTGTAACCACTACTTTAACTACTGACGTGTCTGATGCTAACATGGCAGCATGTGGATATAAATACTTGCTCTTATGTGACATATAAAGAAATTTTTTGGCACATCTTAACCATCTCCACCACTTTTACTTGCATGCATATGTGTCCTTAAATATGACAGAAATGCCCCACCACATACATACATGCAAGACTTCATATGCCTATTTCCAAACTTACATGGTGAGACTACTTAAATAGGTAAATATAATAAATTGATGTTTTGATATTTTTTAAATTCCAATGTAGAGCAAACAAACCCCTATTTTGTACAGAGTATGTTTGTTTAAAAAAAATGCATGATTTATATATGGGAGCTGTTTGAAAACAGTTCCAAGAATTGCCTCAAGATACTTTGTGAGGGTTTGCAGATATAAATGAAGTTTTTAAACTTAAAGTTATTAAAATATTCAAACCCAAGAGAAAAGTCTCTTTCCACATTGCGAGGTATACTTCTCTGCAATGCAACATTTTGAGATATTGACAAGTAAACAGAATGAACTTAAGGAAGCTAGACTGGGCCAGTTAACAGGATTCATTTTGGTTGAACCAGACGTTTGGAAGTAATCTTGTAAAAAAACAAAGCACAATCCCCATTGCTTAATTATTTGTTATGAAGAGTGAAAATGTACAATGAAGATAAGTTTCCTGCACTATGTGAAAAGGACCTTAATCAGGAGATTTATATATCTAATCTAGAGGGGGGGGGGGGGGGGGAAGCATATGCAGGAGACTCCTGTATTAGCTTGGAGTTGGTAACATTGTGTTTATTGCCCACACCCATTTACCCCAACCCCAATATTCTTAAACAAGCACACATTCAAAGGAACTGCTTTACGAGGTGCAGTGTCTGTTTCTTTCAACAGGCTCAGAACTGAAGAGTCCACATATCCCAGACAAAGTTGATAGTATTATCTCACTCAGATATTATACTGGATCTCTGCAGGAAATAGTGCATTCCACTTTTAGTTTAATGACATGCGTTCTGTAATTGTTTCGAATCAATGTTCACGTAAAAAATGAAAAGTTTGACAGAACTCTTGTGTAATCTTGGTTCCTATGTGCATAATGGAAGATCATGATGGAAATTTGAAAGCTGTTGAAATGTAGGGAGTGAAAAAATCCATTTCTGTCAGTGAATAGGTGTGAAGCTAATGCTTCCCTTCAACTTCTATACATGAAATTAAAGTTATTGTAATGTGAATGAATGCAGCAGGGACAACTGTCATCTTCCATAATCAGGGATGAGATTTTTCAACTATCAGTGGATTTCCAACTTTTTGGAGCCTAAAATATCAATGGTCTTTGCAGCCCCCCCCCCTTTTTTTTTTTTTTTTTCACTAAATTGCTGTCTCATCCCTACATAATTAATCTGGATGCACAAACTTGATAGTCAATACTTTTTACCGATAATCCTGTATAAATATTTCATGCAAGATTGAACAAGGTGATATAAAGCTAATTAATTACAAAACTACTTCTATTTTAATGCACACACACACACACACACACACACACACACACACACACAGTTTTATTTCCCTTAAAGCAAAATTAAGTGACCCTTTGTTGCAGGCAAACCCAACAGGACCAAAGACGGTCATGATGTGAGGTCGTGTAAAGTAGCAGACAAGACGGGGTGTATCAACATTTCAGTGTGGGATGATGCTGGAGGAGCACTACAAACTGGAGATATATGTAGACTTATCAAAGGGTAGGTATGTCCAAATAAAGAATACATGTTATTTTTCATTATTAACACCTTGCTTTTTCAATGTCACAATAATCACTTTAACTGGAATAATAGATTTCCAATACACGTAGAAAACATTTTATAAAATGTATCCCAAATTCTCTCATCCATAGACCTTTCGTATCTGTCTTGTTGACAAAAATTTACCCAAGATAAACATTTTTTTCTAAGAAAATTTATAACTTTCAGAGAGAAAAACCACATCATTCTTATAACTTTCAGTATTAAAAGTATATGTATAGCAACCTATTACAAAAGCCATTTTATTATGAAGAAGATTTATTATTTGAATTGAGTTGAAGATTTGCTTTATACCAGTACATGTGCCTAGGGTAAAAAGAGGTTAAAAACTTAAAATCCGTTCTCTTGCCACAATGAGTGTGCTTTACGGAATGAGGATTGATTACTTGAGTCCATGAAGGACCAGAAGATTGATATTTGATGTGTCCATTTACTGTTGGAAAATCACTTGGAAAATGAGAACTGCCATGTCAGAAAACAAAAAGCCACTCTTAAAGCATTTTACAATTAAATCTATTTGTAATGGATATAAGAATTTAACATAGTAACCATGGAGACAATGCTGAACTGAACTGAATTTCTAAAGTGAGAGAGAGGGGAATGGAAAATGTTATTCATTTAAGTATTTTAGAAGTCCTAACTTTTCAATATGTATATATTTTTTTCTTTGCATGAACTTGTGGTGTTTCAAGCTCCTCTCAGTAATAAAACTTAATAGAAGGAAATGGTCCAAAATGTTTAGAATGCTGTACATAATATTTCTTTTGTTTCAGATATGCCTCAATATGGAAAGGATGTTTAACACTTTATACAGGAAAAGGAGGAGAAATACAGAAAATAGGAGAGTATGTCCTGTCTTTTAATTACCAAACTGAGCATATTATAATCTGTTCTTCTAAAAGTTATGAATCAGTTGAATAGATAACGAATTATAAAACTTAAGTAGAAATAGACCTGAAGCTTTTTTTTTTAATGTCTGAATATTGTTTTTATGACAGATCATACCTTTACTTTTGACTTTTAGATGTAATTATACAGGAAAATCATTTATGAAAGAGACATTATTACAAGTACCATATCCATATACATGTATTTCAATAGTGTTGGGAGAGTGTTTAGTTTTGTTTGTTCTGTTGTATGAAATTGTTTTAATGTTGTTCAGTGATAAAGGGCATTGAAAAAATAATACTCATACATCTTTTTGTTTCAGATTTTGTATGCCATTCCTAGAAACTCCCAACATGAGTGAACCAAATCCCGAGTTTTTACAAAAAGTGGTATGTACTGCCTACTGTAGCCCTGAGGAAGCTGAAATAAGCAGTGTTGGATAATCTTTTGAAGGGGACATGCCTTAAAATTGCACAGGGAGCATAGATTCTCTGCTCTTCGAGTTTTTTATATAACTCAAAGTCAGTTAGATAAATGACACATAACCGATGGCTTTAGCATGGATATTTAAATGAGCTTTAGCAGATACAACAAAAAGTAATATAAACCACAGAAGGAAAGCAAATAATATCTGTTCAAATTTACTTTTATGTGGGAAGTATGAGACAATACTCTTTGGTATTTCTTAAAATTATTATATTTGAAACCATATGATGGTGTTTGGTCGGGTTTTGCGACAATGATTTGACATTTTAAACAAAACAAGAAAAATCTTGACAATACAAGACTGCATTTACTCCTGTCATGTAAAATTCCTGCCTTGAAATTAATGCCAAAACTTAAAAATAATGATGGTTAGGAAATATATTTTGTTTTGTTTATGTTTTGCTTTTTTTATGTACATTTTATTTAAAGTCAGTGTCAGGAAATCTAATTTTCACTTTTTTTTTCATACAGGAAGGTCAAGGTCAAAGGAAGTCCCCCACAGAGCAGCAAGCTGGTAGTGAGCAGGCAGGCAATGGCCAGCAGAGAGTACCCCCACTGATGCAAGGTAGGCTTAGGAGACAGAAATCATTGCATTTACTTTGTAAAATTTTTAATATAGAGAGCATTCACATCGAAAAGAGCCGAGGTCTAGCAAGGCTGAGACCTAAATATGGCGGACCTACATGAAAGGAAGGCCGCGTAATCCTTTAATGGTCTCTCAATGACTTTCAATGACATTCATTGAGAGCCTTGATAGACCTCGGCTCTTTTGATGTGAATGCTCTCATATATATCTCTTCCTCAGAGCACAAATTGCACAGCGTCCTGTTACTTTTCTGAATGTATTTGTTTCTTTTAAAACGTTCTAGTGAGTGAGAAATTTAATTTGCCACTTTCACAACCAGAGTTAAGGCCTGGACGAACAGATCCGCAGATTTAAAATGGCTGACCCACTTTAAAGCTAACCATGTAATACCCACAGGCAATCTATTCAGTGTCTGTTAGGGGATTATGAGGCAAGCATTCAAGTGGATCTGACATATTTTAAACCATGTATCTATTAGTCCAAAGATCAGTTTATTCTCAATGGGCCCATTGTTATATTTGTGGTACAAAATTATATATTGAGTACAGAAAAAAACGGCACCATTTGTGGGTAAAGGAAAAGGTCTCCATATTGAGCATTTAAGATATTTACAGAACATGTGCAGATATTTGAATGGATGATGACAAATGACATAATATCTATGGCTTGATACATTTATAACCAATGTAATCAAATGAAGACCACTTCAGTATAGTGTGAAACTTGGAGTGAGAACAAATTCTGAATCATTAGTTCAATAATGTGCTTTTACATATTTATTTCTTCCAATTAAGCTTCTCACAAGGTGACTCTGATGTTCACATTTATATCATAAATACCAAAGAAATAAGTAATTTTACCATGGGTTGTATGTCACAACAGTTTACTGTGGTTGAAAATGTATTCAAAAAGTTCCAAAAAAATTGCTAATAATCATTGCGGAATATCATTCCCATTTCCTATGATAACTTAATTTTCTTAAAATTTCAGTAAATAATCCCTCCCAAAGGAACATCCGTCCAGGCGGCCCAGCCCCGGGCAGACACCCCCCTCCCAACGGCAATATACAGCAATCAATGCACCAGTCTGGACAGGGAAGTGGACGTGGGCGGGGAAGGAGATAACACACACTTTACATCTGTTGGTCAGAAAAATGCATTTTAGAAGCACAATCATTCCCCTGTGCCCTTGTAAGAAGTGGATAAAGACAGGGCAGCAGAAAACAGAAATGTCTCATTTCTGTTGGTCAGGAAATAACAGATACCAACATATAACTGGTCAGTTGTCTGCATTTAAGAAGTATCTGCACCGTTCACTATCTGAAGAGGGGCTTCGAGGAAAAGGCCAAAGACAACAGCCAATACTTGTACGTGCTAGAAGGCCATCCCAAATTATAAACACTTTGTGCTTGCCTCATAATACATTTAATGCTGTATTGTAGCTAAATAGTATGTATAGTATAGATTGTTTTAACCTAAGATATAATATGCCGGGGTTAAACTTGCTATTCAGATCTGCATCAAGCAAGTGAATGGGAATTCTGACCACAAGCCTTCATTTTAGTCCTTTGACCCTAATATGAATGTAAAGAAAATAGTTCCAAAGTGAGTGTTATAGACCACTGAAAACTGAACTCTATATCAACTTTTTTGAGTAACCAAACCTAAAACTAAGGGTCTTGTTTAATGACAACTGAGAAAGGCATAACATCCATGGGTTTGTTAAATATTGTAACGCGACGCGGCCGTTCGCCTCGAATCGGCGACGACACCCCGACGCGGTGTGGGATTGATGTTGCCTGTACCTTGGGGAAAGTCTATCCCCAACCTTCGGAAATAAAAAGACATGTATTACATTTCCAATATGATTATTAAATCTCCAAACATTGAATACAAAAATTCATGCAATATAAACGTGACTTATGGCCACAATAGTTCATGCATTTTCAAGTATCCTTTGACGTGACTTATGGTCATTAAAGTTCATAAATTTCAAATGTTGCGCGCGACGACAGCATCTGGGTAGTAAAACGAAGACAACGAAGACATTTCTGGTAGCGTCGTGGCTTGCGTAGTCTTCTTATGGGTAGCGCAGCGGTTCCCGTAGATCGCGT